AGAAACAGCTACGGAGATGCGGCCCAATTTGTTTTTTTCGAACAAATGCGGTATCCAAGCGTCGAGCTTCAGAGTGAGTCCCATCTTCTTTAAACGCCGAAACACAGTTGATCGATCAATGTTCAGGGCCTCAGCAACCTCTTCCGTTGAAATGCGTGCATTATTTGCTATTAATGCGCGCAGAACGTTGTAATGGTGATGGACGCCCAGAACGAGATTCGTCTTCAAGAAAAAAATCACCACGATGAAATTTAGCAAATCACTTCTTCACTTTTCGAAGAGCTGATGCACAGTCCAAGTAAACCTCTTGAATGTTTTTTGTCGCAGCGCCAACGGTTATTCCTTTCCAAAATTCGTAAAGCATCACGTATCGAAAATGCAACTTCTCCTTGTTCATCTTCAATGATTTTTTTCACGACTTAAATTCAACCAAACAAGCACTTCTGATGCTCAAATGATATCTATGACTGTTATCTTTTCAACGATATATAATATGCATATACAATAGTAATGATGATAAAGGTAATAATGAAAATAATATTTTTTTAAAATTAAAGGAGTTATGTCTTTCTAATAAGTAAGTACAATATTTTGTCTTACTGTGGCACTCACTTTTTGATAACTTGGGTAATTAACGCGAAGTGCTACCACATGTTATGAACACGACAATATGTTTAATGCAACTTTTCCGTATTTGTTGTGCATATATACAGGGTGGGGCATTTTAATTACCCCAAGCGAATATCTCAGAAAGTAAGAGAGATACAAGAAAAAGTTTTATATAAAAGTTGTAGGTTTTCTTAGGGTTCTTTCCCTTAGGGAAAGAAGGTGGAAATAACGGATTTTGGATAGGCGGCACTACTAAGGTGAGATTAAGGTTAACATGAATTTTTTTAATGGACCTCCCTTCGCCATTTTTTATTGCATATTCTTGTAGCACACCTCGAGAGCTTTCCAAAACACTATAATAAAATAATTTTTTGTAAAGAACTTATCAAGTTTCAAGGCTTGGAAGTTATAGTACCGCCGGCATTAGCATTACGCACGTTCGATCGACAGCTAAAATCTCTTGAATGTTGTTTAGAATCATGTCCTAACATTTTTCAAGATCAAGGCCATTGGAAATTATTCCTCTTATTTTTATTTTTATACTAAAAATTCATTTCTATGTAAAAATGTATATAAGAAGTACAACCTCCAATGGCCTTGACAAATGTTATTCATATCGTGATTCTAAACAACATTCCAGAGATTTTAGCCGCCGATCGGTCATCTTGGGTAATGTCATGGAGGATACCCAGTCATCGATTCGATGTCGATTCTATTATTATATCATTTCTGACTGAGTAGAGACCAAGAGACCGAACTAGGCTGTGAAAAGTGTGGTCAAAATCAGGTTTCTAAATTGGTATTGGTGGTACTCGGTACTCTCGGTAGGCGGCTTACGAATCGCAAAACTTCTCTCATAAACGCTTACGCACAGCCGAACACCTAAAAATAACATCATTCTTTAACATCATGCTTTGACAGTAATAGGAAGTTAATAGGAAGATAGTACATTGTCATTAAAACTGCATGAAAAATGGAGCATTCTTCATGTAAAATTGATATGATCTATCATGCAAAATGCAAAAACAGTGTCGGAACGAAAGCGATATCTCGATCGAACTAATTCAAATGATCACTTTTGACCACGCTTTTTGACGGCCTCGTCCATATAAGTTCGGTCTCCTAGTCTTTATTCACAGCGAGAAAAAAATCTTACCCCTTTTCGTTCAGCATGCGGTAGATCGTCTCTTCTCCCTTTCCTCGAAAAACACGATTCATTTGGCACACAATTTTTGTGCATATAATGCACGGTACGAGAAAGCAGTCCTCCTGCTTAATTTAATCCAATACAATATGTCCCCTTGTCTCACTCCGATTTTACCCCTCACCCGCGAGGGCTTAGTTAAAGAGGGTAAGTTTTTAAAACTGTGCCAATCTCAATTCAGCGTGAAACCTCATCCCATTACGATCGGTCTAATCCTGATTGGAGCGGACAGGTTTTTTTTACTCTAGCGGTGTATCGGTGGCCTATGATCGTGTCTAAGGGTGAATCTCAGAAATGATCTCTGATGTTCAGTGTATATCTCAAATGTGTGATACAAATGTCAATACAAAAGCGCACTGATATTAATGATAAACATTTTTTTTTTTTAATATATCCCATTTTTAATGTGTCTCCATGGATAATGTTAATGCCGGCCATACTTAACCATCATAATTTTCAAGCCTTATAACTCGAAAAATACTTCATAAAAAAATATTTTATTATGTTTTGGAAAATTCTCGAGGTGTGCTACCAGAATATGCAATAAAAAATGGGGGAGTTTTATTTAAAAAAAAATCATGTTGATCTTGATCTGACCTTAGTAGTGCCCCCTATCCAAAATCCATTATTTCCACTTTCTTTCCCTAAGGGAAAGAACCCTAAGGAAACCTACAACTTTTATATAAAACTTTTTCTTGTATCTCTCTTAGTTTCTGAAATATTCGCCTGGGGCGATTAAAATGTCCCACCCTTAGAAATGTGAAAAAGTATGGAAAGAATGCGAAAAAGGTGCCAAAAGTATGGGGAAGTGAATAAATAACTTAGATGAGTAGATTAGATAGGTGATAAATACCATAAATAGCCAAATAAATAACGTAGATAGGTGAATAAATAACATAGAGATGAATAGATAATGTTGACAGGTCGATAGATAACATAGATATACAGGGTCTCTCATAATTCATTCGACAACGCTCTTGTCAAATAGAGTGGACTAAACTGAATCGAAAAGTTCTCTACCATTTTGCAATTTTCGCAATGGTTAACAAGATATTTATGCCCGCAAGCGTTGTCGGATGAATAATGGAACACCCTGTATAAGTAGATATGTAAATAAATAATGTACGCAAATAGATGCGAAAAAATTGTGGAAGAGATGCGAAAGACGTACTGAAAATACACAGTTGCGAAGAAATGCGGAATAAATACGAAAAAAGTGCCGAAAAGGTATGGAAGTGGTGCTGAAGTGGTACTTAAAAGGTGCAGAAGAGATGCAGAAGAATTGCGAAAGATGTGCAGAAACAATGCGAAGAGGTACAGAACAAATGCGGAAGAAATACAAAAGGGGTGTAGAGGTCGTGCGAACAAAGTGCAGAAGAGGTGTAGAGTTGCGGAAACGGTGAAAAGAGATACGAAAAGGTGCAGAAAATGCGAAATTAATGTGGGAGAGATGTGGTAGAGATGTAGAAAAAAATGCAGAAAAGATATATGAAAGGTGCAAAAGTAATGCGGGAAAGGTGCGGTAAAAGTGCAGAAAAAATATAAAAAAAAGAAAAGAAAGTGTCGAAAAAATGCAGAAAAGGTGTAGAAAAAGTGTAGAAAATAAGTACAAAAAATGCAGAAAAGATGCAGAAAAAGATACAAAAAGAGAATATAGAAAATGTAACAAAAAGGGATAAGATTTTGTGACGACAACGTATCTGAATGAATAAATAACATAAATCGGGCTGAAAAGTTTGTGCTCAACCCCAGCTTAAAAGTTGCAGCAACAATACTGCAACATTGCAGCACTATTGCATGTTGCAGCCGATATTGCTGCAAATTCTGTACTGTATGTGCATATTCATATCTAAGCATCAAGTACGTTGTCTTACAGATATGATTGTATCTTATAATTGTAAAAATATATATTCTTCCCCAATATATGTATTTTTTTATAATATCAATTTATTTAAACAAAACAATTTTTAATTACATAAGCGAATTCCTTCTTGTAAAGGATACGCTGTAGCGTCTTTTTCATGACATGATATTATCCCTTTCATAATAATATAAAAAGGATATTTTATTAATGTACTAATAAACTTGAAGAGAGACACTACCGAGTCTTCTGATATGTTTTAATTGTATGAATGCGAAATGTATTGAGGATGCAGTACGACTTTAGACAGATTTTGAAATTGCTATATAGCAGTACACGGAATCGATTATATAGATGATTATATAGACATGTAATATGCATGTAATAATTTAAAGAGTTAAAAAGAAGACTATTATTCTCTTTGTATACATCAATGTATTTTATGCTTATGAAGGGGCCATCATAATTTATGTTCTCACTGAGGATGACGATATTAAAGATCGAAACATTTGAGTAAATAGTTTTTGTATTTTTATTTAACTATATATATTTTTATATAATATATTTTTTAATTTAACTACATACATATATCTTAAAAACATTTAGCATGAAACATCCAGCGTTTTGGCTCAACATAGCCCTTTGTTTCTTCGTATTCGAATTATTGGGTCGTCCGGAAAGTCCGTGCGGATTTTTTCATTGATTTTTCAAAAGTTTTTTTATTTGTTGCGAAATTTTCGTTACGATTATATCATTCGCTAGAGCAAAGTTTCAGCTTTAAGAATCTGTTTTTTAAATTGCGATATGATGATTTTTATCGGAGTTATGAGCAATCGAAATCAGAATGCTTCTTTACTTAACTCGCGAATAACTCAGAAACAAAAAATTATAGGAACATTTTTAAAAAATGATTTTGTAGGGAAAGCTTTAAGTTTTCACGATGGGTAGTCGAAAATTTTCGTAAATTTTTTTTGGGCACGTGAGAGACCCCCAAAGTGAAAAGAAAATTTTTTATCTTTTTCAGCTCGTAGTTTTTGGTATGTAAAAATTATCAAACTCATATAAACTTAAAAAATGTGATAAGCTTTTAAAAGTAGAGATTTCAAGCTTTAAAACCCTTTTTTTAAATTTAAATTTCATTCATTTTTGACGAAGGTATCGGATATACAATTTTTCATTGTAAAATCCGCACGGACTTTCCGGACCACCCAATAATAATATTTTTATTCAGGACACAGCATGCAATGTTACCAATGTAACAGCACCAGCACCGAGAATCCATTTCAATGTAATGAATTCCTGACGACCGACAATGATCTTCAGCCTAGATCATGCGACGACGTTTATGGAGCGCAATATTGTGTCAAGCACATAGGCCGCTTCGAGGGTAAACAACAACGAAGATATTTTCTATAACCTTTGCTTGGCAGATTAACATAGTGGTGATGCAGAGAAAGCTGATTAACTTTTCTAACAATTGTATTTCACACACAGATTAATCGAGCATGTCAGCGATTCTGCATTAAACTCAACTGAATTCTTTCCAGATCTTTTCAACTTGCTGAATCATATTTATTATGTTTGAGATCTTGGAATGCAAATTAAACCATTATAAGCGATTTACAATATACCATTCTCTCTCTCTCTCTCTCTCTCTCTCTCTTATTATATTTTAAAAATGACAACTCAAACGAATTAAATTTTTTAGAAAAGAAGAAAACTATATATTGTTCAACTCGACAGAAAGTTATTAACTAATCGAATAATAAATGGCAAAAGAATGTATTCTTAATATGATTAAATATCATTTTGTCATTTTCGTCTTACAACCTTTAAAAACTGTCCTTTTTTCAATTGTGATGCGATTTAAATGATTTTTTTTAATTTATCTTTTTTTTAATATTGTAACTATTTTTATAATTTTTTATAAAGTTAGTTTACTTTTGAATGATAAATATTAAAACAAATTTAATGTGAATGACAATAACTTACTCGAAAAATTGCGGCAAATTATCCTATAATTTTGGAAAGTTGCTAAAATAACAATTTTTTTTATTTTTGTCATTTTTTTATTTTTTTAAATAAAATAATTACAGAAATCAAGTTTATTTGATTCATATTTTCTATAAAATATTTTGATACACACTACATGACTATACTAAAGTATAGTCACTTCCCAAATCTGAAAATTTATTTAATTGATTATTATTGTATTTTACAAAAATGATATAATTTGCATTTCAATTCTCTTTCATGTTGCAAAAATTCATTTATCTACTAACCAAAATCCTGTTTATATCATTGCAGTAGATCATTTCTAAGGCTGTGTATCTAAGAGTTATTTCATAATTATTATTTTATGATGTAGCATTGAAAAACTTGTGTAATATTGATTGCCATATAGTTTTAATTAGAAATTTAATCATTGCTTTCTTAAAATTAAAAGTGATGACCTTGGATTGCTATCAATGTACATCGGCGGATGAATGGAAATGCATGGATAGCGAATTGGTTAAAAATATCTTGGTGCCGGCAAATTGTAGTCATGTGTATGATGCACGTTATTGCATCAAATCAATCGGCCGTTACGGAGGTTTTTATAACAAGAATCTATATTTATTATCGAGTGTATGCATGAATGTTCCTTCAATACCAAATCTTTGATATGGAAACGATTACTTATTGAAATAAAGAAAGGTAATTCTTTATTTTAATATAGTTTAAAAAATTCTGAGGTTAAAATATATAAAGAGGTTTGCAAAAGTCATAGATATTTTTTTTAATATTGATTCTTATCTATATATTATGATACTTAGTATATTGGAACGAATAAGAAAAACGATGTTCTTTTCCTGTTCTTGAAAGTGATCGTTTTGACACGAATTTTTTTGCTTATATGTTCTATTTTAGCTTTTGAAATTAATTTCGCAAAAAAAAAGATATTTTAATTATTTTCCTTAAAATATATTTAGAAGGCTCTCCAATCTTACACATAATATAAGAATCAAATCTTAAGAATAAGTTTGCAATTAATAATATGTAAGCACTCTTAAATTTTTTCAGATTTTTTAAATTTTTTTACAATTTGCTTAAATAATTTTCTAAAATAGCTGAAATTCTTATGAAAAGGAGAGTTTTAAGTAATTTAATTGTACACAAAATATAATATTTTGAAGATATATATATATATATATATATATATATATAGATATGAAAGAATTAAATTTGAATAATTATTATAAACAATTTTTCTTTAATATTTTCCACATATTCATTTTTATTATAAAAAAAGATATTTTTTAATAATAAATTACAGTTTTACAGTTTAAATTTTATTCAGTGTTTATTTTTTAGAAAATGGGAATGGTATTTTGCATTCTTTGCACTCTCGTGTTGAAATATAAGAAAAGTTACGTGACTTCCTTTCACTTTTTTAAGCTGGAGAATTTCCTTGAAGAATACACGCACGCACGCAAGCACGCACTTCTTTCTGCACGATATATACAATATCACACTTTTTTTGTCATTTAAATATACACATGTAGTCTGCTTATTACTTTACTCATTCTCAAAACTAACTTTTAAATTCAAATTAACAAAAAAGAATATGTTTGAACAAACTTCCTTTCTTTGATATTATATATTTCAAAATACATCAAGTTCTCTCTGAAGCGTTTCAAGCTTCTTCCAATTAAACAAGTAGTAGTTTCACTTAGGATAAATATTATATAATTAAGTTATATACTTCTGGAAACAGGTGGCATTGGTACAAAGCGATTTTGCTCGTCCGTGCACATGGGGAACTACTGCGACTATGTGAAACAACCGGGTGACAAGCTGACTTACCGCACTTGCGTATTCACATGTTCCGAAGATGGATGCAATTCAGCGGTATCCTTTATGCCAGATGTAATGTATACATGGATCATGCCAGCGAGTTTAATAGTAGCCTGGAAAAAACTATTTCACAGGTAGAAGCTTCTGTGAGAGGCTTGCCAATTAGTTAAGAATCTGACAAATTTATTTCATTATGTCGATGAATCTCTAACGCCTTTTTCTACTTCTTTGTAAATCGCAGGTATCAATTTATACTTAGATGCTAATGTAAAGTATTAAATTTTGATCTTGATATTAGATTTCTCCTGCCAATAACATTTCAAATATCACGGAGTGTGATGCTTACGAGATATTTCTTACCAGTATCAGAAAATTAATCAATTTTAAGATCTTTTTCGCAACTTTATATTTCAATCCTGTGTAATAGGATTGTCACTTTTAATTGAAATATTTGAATTATTTTATCATGATTATTCATTCATATTTTTTGAAACTTAAATTATATTCTTATAGGATTTATACTCCAATAATTCGTTCACAGGCTGTGTTCGGATATACACTGCCAGTATTGAAATTCTACGGTATACATACGTAAATTATTGAAAATAAAGTTGCCAAAAAAGATCGAAGATAAATTTCAAAAAGCACTGTATTTAAAAATTCTCTTTTTCTATATATCTATATATAATATCTTTATCGCATAATTAGAAATCAATGTTTCATTGTTTTAAAAGCAATAGTGTAATTGTATATTTTATTATATATTTAATATTTTTATATATTTCATATATATAATTATATATATAAAATAGATTATTTTTTAACATCACAAAATAATAGAACTGAAACAAAATATGTCCGTCCATTCACTTGATAAACAATTTTAAAAGAGTATTGTATAATTATAAGAGATATACACATTTATACTAATTTATATTAAAGAAATATATATATATATATTGCACTTTTTTACTTCGATATGTACTGACGTAATACATAGAATTAAATTGATTACTATTCGTAAATTTCAAAACGAATAAAATATTTTATATATTAATAATGTTTCATATACTCAATTTTATAAATTTTTCCTTTTATTTTTATTATGAGATCCCTGCTTGCCATATATTAACATCTTCCTTGTTCTCGTACATAAATCTCTTAAACAGGCATACGCTGATAATAAATTGGACTGTAATCTACGAGATAATGACGTTCTTTGGTACTTTTGTGTTTAATGTACGGTATTATGTGATTGGAGATATCGATGTAATATATTTAATTGACATGTATAAATATATATAAATCACGATATAGGCATATTTTGTCACGATACTGCATCAGAAGTAAATTTACAATTTGTAATAAAATTTATAAATTCGTTACAATACGTCTGTCACAAAAATGAATGATCTCCTTACAAATATCATAGAAATTACTTGAAATATAAATATCGAAAATATAGCTACAAACTACCTCGCAATATGTACTTTACCGCCTACAAAATGCACTGTTTAATGCAACACACTTCATGTTGAAAAAGTTGTATATCTAAAAGAAGGTTTCAATGAAATATCTGATTTATGGGTAATTAAAGCTCTACTGACGATGATAAAATAAACAACTAGTAAAGAAAGACTAGGGAATGCTACGTCACGTGTTGGTATATCATCAGTGTTTCAGGTTATCCTTACTTTACGGATAATGAAATTTTATGCTCGCAAACGATATGTGAAATATAGCATCCAGGTACTACATTTATCCAGTTCAATTGCACAATTGTATGAAAAATACGTATATAAACGTATATGAATATGTATAAATGATTACACGACTTGATTATTATTATTAAGCAGAAATATAATTCTGTATGATTCTCAAAACTACAAAACTAATACTAAAAGTAAATATTCTAACACATTTGCTATCGTATCTCTTTTAAGGATATATTACTCACTTTTACAATTGCGTTAACGTATATTTTGAATAAACGATATACATATAAAAGTTGTATTTGTAACATTTTATTTTTATTGAACAATAGTTTTTTTTTAGTTTTTATTATAATACTAAAAGTTTACAAAATAATGACAAAAATCTAGATTTTTTACACAAATATTTTAAACATTTAAAATTATGTATGCACTTTCATTGTGATGCAGAGATTATTTGTTTTGCAAATGAACAAATTTTGTTTATTTGCAGAATAATTTTCATACATTTCCATTAGATCAAAGATAAAAAAATACTACTGTAATCATAATTTCAAATACTACTTGAAATCATTTTTTATCCAGATCCTAAACTGCCGTCAAACTTTTATTAAATGCTAAAGTAAATTGTAATTTTTTCATAATATTTTCATTATTTTAAAATGTGTGTAATACATCCTTAAGTTAGCTCAGGTGAATCACATCATTGAGTCGCGTTAAACGTCGAGTTTCTTTAAAAATATACATACATATATATCGTTTCACTATATCATCGATTGTAGGTACATTGTTTAATGATTTTGCTAATTGCACGAACGTTACATTATGCATTTATTGTATAAAAGGGAAGCTAATTTTAAGCTAATTTTGTTTTTTAAGTTAATCGTGACATTAGATATTATCACTGCATTCATAGATTTGGAGATCTTATTGCCATCGACATCACGGCAGTGGATGGCAGTGATGAAAAATATACGCGATAGCAAAATGCATTAACACGCTTAATATATTAACACTCTAGTCCATACTACTAATAGATATAATATGACATAGCAGCTTTGTAGAGTGTATAATAGATCAACAAAAATCATTTTAAGCGTTGCAAGGATAAATTTACAATGCAAATAAAAGCAATAATAATCGTGATAATACGCAAAGAAATACTGTCTTTCGAAATATCTCTAATGATAAAGCAATACATTAAATAATACGTTAATTAAGTAACTAATAAACATACAAAAACAGTAATAGAAAAAATAAACAATTGATTAACAGACTAGTAGTATAATATAATATCGTTTTCAAAAAAAGTAAAGTATGTCATTTAACTGACAACATGAATTACCTTTACGCTGCCATTTTGTCTATTGTGTTTTTCTTAACTTCTTAATATCCGACTTACGCATCTAAGTATGTGCGTAAACAGGTACAATTTTTATGTAACAAATGCAGCTAACTGTTTCTGTTCCCTTGTAATTAACGTGACAATTTTATTCTACATAAAAATTGTAGATATTTTAAGAAAAGTTAGTAAAAATTATTCTGTGCGAATATTTCTTTGTGTATAAATATGACAAAGCTAAAGTCCCCTAAGCGTGTTAGTACAAAGTTTTCATAAGCTTAGGCTCTGTATCATTATTAGCGGTGCTTAAATACTTTAGAAACTTTTAAGTATTGATCTGGAGACACGGTAGTGTCTCGGCGTTAAACATGGCTCAAGACATTGATAATCACGTGTAGTAGTAAAGCTGTAAGAATCTTATTCAAAGCAGATGTCGAAGCGAGTTTATAAATTTTATTGTTGACGCTGCAATTTTCGTATTTGGTCTTCTAATTCCTTAACACGCAGTTGGCTATTAGCAAGCTGCCGTCGTACCAGTCTCAATTCGTCAGTTTGACGAGCCAATGCCAAACGAAGTTCTGCTTCATTATTTGGAACATCCACTGTCTCCATAACTTTATTGTCATTAATCGAAGACGATATAATATTCTTCTGATAAGAAAAATATTTACGAATATAAAATATATACAAAAATTATGTAAAAAATGCAATGTGTATATACATGTATTACGCTCGTACCTGTATAGTGACATTTCCAAACTTCTGCTGAAGTTGCTGAAACTTTGTGCTTTGATTGCTGGATGTTTTTTGGCTCTTTTCCGACATGTCATGTAATTCCACCGGTCTGTAATCCGGTATCGTTTCCGTAGACAGAAACGCAAATTTCTTTTTGTTATTCAGATCAGTGGTCGCAGGCAATTGCGGTGGCTTGTATACTCGTGGCTTATGCGTAGAGATACTCCCGCCTAAAAATAGCATGATATCCATTAATGACTGCTCGTTAGAATTTTATTACTGTATACCGTATTGATGGAAAATATATAAAAACAAAAATTAAATAGCTCTAGCTTGGAGAAAATCTAAACAATATTTGGGACAGATCGCACGACACTCGCAATGTATACTTATATATAATATAAAAATGTAGGACCTGTTTTAAGAGAGATTAAGACTGGTGGGCTGTTCATGCCGCTGGTCCAGTCTCTAGCTGATAATGCGGGACACGTTCCAATTGTATCAGGATATAGATCTTCTTGAAATTGATCACTCTACAGCATATAACATAGTTTTCTTCAATATGCACCTTTTAAAAAAAAATGAAAAGAATATAAAGTATTAACCATGCAGGTAAACTTGCCTTCCGTGGTACTATCATTGAGATCGGCTCACACATTCCACGAGTCGCATGTAACTTATAAAATCTGAATACTTCACATAAAGAAGTATTAATGCCTCTTTTCGGCATTACCCCCAATCCTCTCTGAGGATTTCCCGATATAAATTGACTAAGATAATGCACCCAGGGTGCTTCATTAACCACTTCATAATATCGAATGTTACCATCACCCTGCAGAAAATGATACAACACAGTGAGTTTTACAACAGTCTGAATTACATGTCATACGTTTTTACCTTTCCAGCCAAAAACACCATGTTGGTATCATTATCGTAAAATGGAAAAACTACTCCGCTCGATGAATCTATCGTCTCACACGTCAGCGGAACAGTTAGATCATGTTGACTCCATATCGCGTATTGTCGATCCGAATGTCTGCTAAATCCAGTAGTCAAAAGACGTCCGGAACTGCCAAGAAATACTACCTTACTAGCTTTCGTGCCAGCGTGACATACTCCTTCCTATTAAAATTAAAAGTAAGATTTATTAAAATTTAATAGAAAAAGCTAGGATGGAATATTTTACCCCTCACTTTTATCGATAAATGCATAAATTTATTTTTGAAATTCTATAGAATATTAATAATTAAAAATATTAAAGGCAAGAGGTGCGCAACACATTGAAGTTGGTGCGCAATAAAAATTATTGTGAAAATTGACGTAGATAAGTAAAAGATAGAAAATTATAAATTATATAATTAATTCAAATATTCTAAAAAATTTAGAGTCTCATTATTATCTAGATGTGACATGTGACGCAACTGTATGCTGAATGTGCATCTTTATTCATACAAGCAAAGTGTGTATACAGACCATAATTTTTAACAGAAATAAATATTGTATATTCTTTTATATTTGTGATTATTACCTAGAGTGTTAAAGAGCTTATATAGCTTAAACAGATATAAACAAAAATGAATAACAGAAGGGCTAAGAGTCAAATTTTTCATATATTTAAATTCTTAAAAACACATACGTTTCCAATCTATTTGTCAAGTTATTTTCAATGTATACATATTGATAAATTAACGCAAATTTAGTAAAAATCATAAAACGGTTAAATACAATTTCTGCAAATTATAGTTACTCAAAGTGGTAGATCTATTTCTTCATATCTATTTTCAATCGTAACAATGCAATGCTTTCAATCTTGTCATCTTCGTAGTCATTCTTCTATTACATCGGTCGCAATTTGTCCATAATGATAATAAAATTAGTTGAACATGTAGAGTCATTCCATAAAATTGTGCAAGCACATTCTCAATGTGAAGGTTTAGCCAGAATAATCCAGTGATTGAAACAATACGTCAAATTAATTTAACAGAGACAAATGCGATTAGAGTTAAGAAAATTGAAAACAATTTCCATTAGAAATTACTAATGTTATATTGTAACTTTTATATTGTGCTTTTTATATTGTACTTTTATTAAATAGATATATTTACGATTGTAAATTGCGTTCTTTCTTACCGAAACTACGATACCGGACCTTGGTTCAAAAACGCGCAATTTCTTGTCCTTGCAAGTGGTCGCCAATAAGCTGCCGTCACGATTTAGAGACATGCTATAAATCACATCAGGATGTCTATCGATGACGCTAACTACCTCGCATCTGTTCACATCCCATACGATAACAAGATGATCAAAGCCGGCGCTAAAAAGCACATTTTCAGCTACTGGGTGCCATTCGATATAAGCGACACGTCGTTTGTGTCCTTGCAACTCCACCAGCCATTCGGTCAAATTCCTTGACAATCCGCCATCAGGTATATGCCACAACTTTATCTAGATATAAAGAAAAAAAATCTTTGTGTTCATTTCTAGCCTAATCCTCTAGAGCTGATAGTAAGGGCTGATAGTCTATTATCACTCAATTATATTCTTTATATTGCATCTGCAAATTTGAATTATTGTTATTAAAATAAACTTGGTATTCAACTCTTTTTTTTACACAAGTTACAGCATTAGTTCTTTAAAATTAATTAAGCACCTTTTAGTCAATATAAGCTCACAGATCCATTAAATAAGTAACTGTATTACAGACTTTGACGTCAGCATCCGAGAGTTGAATGTACACATCACACACAAACACACACACACACACGCACGCACGCACGCACACACACACATATATAATAGTAGTAGTTGGAGTAAATTTTAATATTCTAATCTACATTCCGTGTAGTTTACATTTCTACAGAAATCTCCCGTGAGCTTTGGAAATGCAAGTGGAAATGCTTCCTGTACGCAAAACTTTTCTTACAGTGCAATCATCGGAACAGGACGCGATGATGTTGTCATTGAATGGATTCCATTTGATGTCCAAAACAGGACCGGTATGTCCAGTTACTCGGCTGGCGTTGAAGTCAAGTCGTCCGGTCTGCAACAAGTGTGACAAATGATTGATGTATTGCTATGTACTGATGAACGCGACATAAATATGTTATATGAAAATCTGTAATTAATTGTAAGATATTTAGAATATCAATTATGTAAAACAGTCTCCGTGAGAAACAAAAAAAATCTGTATTTATTTTATCAGACTCCAATAATGCGATCGAATAATGCTAGCTAATACTTCTGTTCTTGCGCAGGACTAGAATCGATAAATCGATAAGGCACAGACTACTCACGCGATCCAATGATAACACAAGGAACGCTCCACCGCCCGCAACCTCCGTCACGATGGCCAGGAACTTGGGATTTACGGCGCAGAATTGCGAATCGTGGGCGTTTTTTGTGATCTTGATGTTGTCGTAACATTTCTCTCTCTTGGCTGGCACGCCGTAAACGTGTCGAAACTTGCTGCTTCGAACGCCGCGGAACCACGACTATAAATATCATTTAACATCCATTTTATCAAATAAAGAAAGGATAAAAGCTAATAAACGAGCAACTATGTGTATCAAAATGTATACGTTTAAAGCTCCTGAGTAGTCATCATATTGAATCATGACTCGTTAGAAGCGAAAAATGATATGTTGATAATAAGCATAGTTTTCATCCAATTCTACAAATGTTTTAAAGTTTAAAGCAATCTTATCATTTCGTTTTATCCAAATTGTTTTTATTTACAAATGGCACGTAATAAAAATTAACGTGTCATTTTTCGCTTATAACGTCATGATTTAGTATGGCAGAGGTTTGTAACTTGACTGAGTTTGCTAATACAATAATTTACTAAATACGATACATCGATATCTAATCTAAAGCTCACATAGTAAACAGTTCATAAAACATGTAACAATTATTGTCTTTATCCTTCCTGGCGGAAAACATTTTTACGAATTAGTATAGAAAAATATATAGATTGAGATAAGATTTAAAAAATTCTTAGTTTTTCATAGTGGAACGTAGAGTGAGGTATGTTTACCTTAGAAATCCTTAATTTTTTGTAGATATTCATGGGACGTAGAGTGGCGCTGTTTGTCTCATGATACAAGATACGAAAAAATGTTCTGTAAAAACTTGCAATATAACCGTCAGAAGACGTATATGGAAAGGGCGGAAGATTTCTTGCTTTTTCTCAATCTATGTAATTTTTCGTGAAAATTTTTCCGCCAGGGCTGTTTGGTAGGGATATACGGGTACCTGAGCCTCGGACTCGGATCGGGAATTTTTTTCAGAATCGAATCGGGCAGTTTCTGATTATAGATCTAGAAACTTTTTAACGGCATAAATGTGATGCTTTTTCATGATTTTTCAATTAGGTTTTCCACTTAAACTATAAGTTATACTAGTATAATTAATTAACTATAAATTATACTAGTATAATTAGAATTAAATTTAAAAGTCCATAAGGAAGTCTACATCTACAATCATTACCCAACCCGATTTTAAATTTAAGTACCCAAACATTCGGGTACCCCAACTCGATCTCGAAAAAAATCTCGAGTACCCCGCACACCCACCCCCCTCCCTAGTGTTTAGCCACTTTATTATTCATCTCTAGTTCTCTTTCTTTTACTTCTATATATCCCGATCGCAAGGACCGTCTGAACAACGTTGTGAATATTTACTGCAACCTTACAAAATGATAAAATCATGTCAATAAGAAGAAAAGAAAGAAACGGAGCGCGTCATGCCAATGATGTACAATAGCGAAATATAATATCATTCACGATTTTCAAGAGGGCTCTCTCTTGTTCGGAAACCGTAAAAAAAGAAAGTTGTCGGCATTACGAATGAAAATACAGACATTTCGTTATCGCGGCTGACAATTGCATATTTTTCAGCGGTTGCCTCCGAGAACAAAGTCCAAGGAATTAACGCAGAACAAACGATGCGCGATGAGGTATATAGTACAAATAACGATTGAGAGAGTTTGTACAAAACGAATTGACGTTACAATTAAATAAAAATTAGTAATATTCTATATATCCTTTCAGGATCGGATAAGTTAAAGTTAATTAGTTTTAAATTAAAGTTTTAAATTAAGTTTGAATTAAGTTAGTGGCCTATTAACTTAGGCCTGTTAAAAGTTGCACGAAAAAAAATTAACTTAGGTAAAAGTTGAGTTAAAATTAAATTAATTGAAGTTAAATTAAAATGTAATATTAATAATTAAAAATTATTTATATTAAATTAAAATGTAATTTTTTTTCAAATTAAAGTAAATTACTCTAAATAAAATAATAGCAATATGAATTGAATAAATTAAATATAAAATGATAAAAAAGTATATATTATTTTAAGTAGATGTAATGATTATTACAAAAATCTGTATTGCAGTACATTATTTAAATCAAAATTTAGTTAACGAAATAACATTTTTAAATAAACTTTTCTTCTTGCCTCTTTTTTAAAAAGTCGAGAGAAATGCAACCAATCTTACATTAGCAGAATGCTCATTACGATCATTGAACTTTTACTAATTGTCTAATGTTTCAGATTAAAACAAATACTTATTGATGGTCAAAGAAAAAATTTTAATTCATAATTAGAAAAAAGTTAATAAATTAAAGTTAATATATTTTATAAAATAACTTGGGAATTAGTCGAAGTTAAAAATTAACTCATTAAAATTAACCAAGTAAAAGTTAACTTTCTTACTTTTAATTAATTAACTAATTACTATTCAACTTAGCATTCTTAAGATAAAGATATAAATGTAAAAAAATATTTTTTAATTACGAAACAATTTACACTAAATATAATGTGTATATAAAATAGCGTTCATACACTCAGTGAACTTATGTATAACGCAAGAATTTCTATATTAAGTGAATAATTAAACAAAGATTTTTTTTTTAAACTTACGTTCTTCTCTTTTTGAAATTGTGCCTGAAGAAATAATAATGAATCACACGGTTGTGACTAATTGACAGCGCGAATGTGAAATCTCTTGATTCGTGTGAATCGACGTATTTTTACCGCGGTGTGTAGCGTAGCGCGGTGAGATAGATCGAATTATGCGACTTTTTCCCAAGGAAAAAAAGAAAATAATCAAGTGAACTGCGAAAACTGCATAAGAATCACGGCGAAGAATCAATTCCGAAATATATTAGGCGCGCAGGATCTTCCGAACCTGTTTTTCATATAAGTTTGAATTTTTTTACGCTATTTTAGATTAAATGGAATTACGAATTAAAATTCACTGAAAATTAAATAAAAGATCTGCGTTTATAGCTGCTAAAAATTTGCTTGTAAGTTGAAAACTATCGTTATTTTTGTAGAGAAAAGATTAGATGAAAATTGATCAAAGAAAACGTAAGTAAAATACTACTTGATAGATCTGGGACACCTTGTGTGTTAAGTGTGCAAGATATCGTAATCAAAATCAATAACCGGTACATTATGTAATCACATAGTTGCGGCTTCCTCGTTGTTACGTATAGGTAATGCAATAAAGAAGTGATATTTTATATCCTCATTTATTCTACGCATGAAATGCTGCAGTTTATACTTGTATACAAAGAGAAGGATATACGTGAAATTTTGACATATCATTCCCTTATTTAAATAGTAATAGCAATTGAAAGTTAAATTTGTCAAAAAAAGGGAAAAACTACTTTTCAACTTGATAGAAAATTATTGTCTAATTAAAAATAAATGGATGGTAATAATGGAATATATATACCTGTATATAATATATTATTAACATGATGAATTATTTTCATCATTTTTGTCATTTTTGTTTTAAAAAAATTACGCTTTTTAAAATCGTTGGACGCATATGAATGCATGCTAGTGCATATATTTAATTTTGACGATTTTTTTAAATCATTTTTTTTTCAAATTATGATAATTTCGTCGATTTGTATGAGATTAGTTCACTTTTCTGTTGATAGACTAAAACAAAAAATGTTTACTTGACTCATTCATAATACAGTGATAATTCCAAAAAAATCACGCTTTCTACTCTCTAAACTCTAAATTTCTTGGAATGAAATCTCACTCCAAAAGAGGTAAAATACTGCCATTATTTTGAAAGACTAAAAAATTTGCACTCTTCAATAATAGTGGCACTCTTTTTGGAGAGATTAGAGATTTTACTCATTTTACTCCAAAAAATTTATAGATTAAGTTGCATTACTAAGAGACAGAAATTTACAAAAAGCATTGCGGTTGTTTAACGGGATTCCGCTATATAAGTACACCGACTTTTATATAAAGCCGTTTTAAAAACTATATACAATTCACTCAACGTGCATAAATAATAATAATAAGCATAAATTTGGTAAAGTTTAAGATTGTTTTTTGAATGCAGGTCAAACAACAAAATTACTCCCTTTGCTCAAAGTCTCTATAAGGTCCACTTTAAACACAAACTGTTTATGACAATCCAAAGTGTTGATCTGTCATACATATCGTAGATGCTTAAAAACTCTGAAATTTTGCGTTTTTCCTCTGATTTTAATTCTCATATGAAACTCTATGAGAGCAAGAGAGATAATACTCACCCGTCTATCGTTGGTCATGTCTGATCGGGATCTGGTGTCCAGGACAGCTGGTGCTCGACGAGTACACGTGTGCGATGAGACGATTGTCGCCAGTGCACAACGAGGATGCGGTAATCGACAAGCCGGGACCCATGCATGTGCAGGTGATTGAAGAAACAGAGAGAGAGAGAGAGAGAGAGAGAGAGAGAGAGAGAGAGAGAGAGAAAGAGTCACTGGTGTGGATAATATTGTAACCAGCTACACGAGCCGTTCTCTCACACCGCGTTTACTAGAAGAAACAAAGGAAAATGATAGGCATCTAATTAACAAACAACTCATAAAATTATGAGAGTTAAGCTCGTCAAAGCGCGGCCGCAATTTTCGTGTGACTAAAGTACCTAATAAACTTTGGGCTAAGGGAGGGAATGTGATGGGGATTGAATTAACTCGCGTAATTAGACGTTACAGACTCGGGCTGAGTTATCGCAACGATCGCGTCGTTACCGAGACAGTGATGATCCTGCTAACGAGATCTTCTCTCTTTTTTATGAGTGTAACAATCACTTTCCCTCCAATTTTGAAAGACTTTCAATGTGAAGACCCATAGTTTTCCATCTCGAAGAGAGCGCGGTTCAACGCGGAAAACCCCCTTAAAGACCGTTTTTGCCAAACATAAACTGCTCCAAGTATTAAGTCGTTAAATTTTCCAATTAATGCTCGTACAAACGACGCGGTCCAAATTGGATAACTTATTTTGGCGGTGCCATTGCAGGCACATGTGAGATAGAAA